CCATCATACAAATAGGATCTATAATAGGGTTATTCTACCTAATATATAAGTAATGGTATTTATAGAGGAAGTCTATTACACAAACATTTAAAGTGGATAATTCTGAATATCGTCTTAACACTTTCATGGTTTTTTTATTTCTATTAAATATAGACTCATACACAGTTCTTAGTGCTTGAAAAACCAACTGAATTGTTTGAATACTTAATGTTCGTATTAAAAAAAAAACCTTTGCAGCGTTTAGATAATGTTTATTGGGTAAGAATTGTATTATATATCAATACATATAGGCATATTTATAGGTACCTACACAAACGTATCTACCAATTATTTATATATATATATATATATATATATATAGCCATATAGGTCTGTTTATACATAATCTATTACGGTAAAATCTACCTCACACTAGGGATTCGTAGTTTTATAAGTATGAAATCCAATTTTGTTTAGATAGGTATTATAGAAGTAATACAAATTTAGCTATCTCGTTGTATAAATAGTAATTCATTTATAGTTATTGCATAATATAAGATACCTATATAAAATGTATTACAATTTAACCACCTATTTATAAAAAATTTAATATTAGAACATAAGCGTAAGTTGTTTTTTTATTACCATGATAACGCTACGCCAAGAATAATATTTCGTTTAATATTAACGAATAGATACATATAACGAGATGGACGCATGAAAAATAAATTAACTTTTTTAATTGAAAGTAAATTAACTTAAGTTTTTAAATTTAAAGTAAATTAATTGAAGTTTTTTGATTAAAATTTAAAATGCATTATGTTTACATATTTTATTAGTTTAATAAGTGCCAGGTGTTTATTTTTCCACCAAATAAATGTAGTTTATAAATAAATACACCAATAACATCATTGTTTTATTGTATTACTATTTACTGTGTGAATACACAATAATGTTCATTGTTTAAAGAAAAAACAGGACATTTTAATACAATATTACTTCATTACTTTACATTTTTAATATTTGTATTTTGTACCTACACATTATTTCAGTGCAATACTTAGTATGTTATGAGTTTTAAACTTTTCAATAACTAGTGCCCATAACTTAACCAAAATATTATTGATAAACTTAATCATATATTTTAACTATTAATGATTTATGAGTTTAGGTTAGAGTTTTTATAAACATGCCATATCTAAAAGTAGGTGGCAAGAATGTTTATTAAAAAAATTACCCATGGTTTTCTCTTCTTTTTTTAATTATACCTATAAATATATAAAATGTATTTTGATAATGACTATATGCTAGGTATTAATGTGCTATAATTACTAAACTTTAAGGTATTTTTTTTTATTTTATGGAGAAGGAATAAACCTTTTTTAAATGATAATGTAAAATATTTTGGTGGATAATTTGTACGAATACGCAAGAGCCTTTTATATGTGTGGCCCATAATAAATTGCTTATGAAAATAATGTGCAGATAAAAGATCATTTCAATATCAAATAAAAATCATTGAGATAAGTTGGCAGAAGAGCTCGATTAATGGAAATTTAAAAATACTACAATATCAAAGGCTGGATACAAAACAGATTTTTCAATTTAAAATAAGTACAAATGAGTATTATACATTTTCTTTTCATTAATACACAAAATATACCTTTCAAGATGAAAATTAAAAGCATTCATTGAGATATCGCTAACAACCACATGTGCACATTATAGACGCTTGTTTTTTTTTAAATTTAATTGTTTTGTATTTATACTACACTGGTCACGTCGTTGTTCCAGTACTGTAATTATTGTGTACACACACATGTGTTAAATGGTTTAATAATACATACATGCGGCGTATATATTAATATATCCAATTTGCGCTACGGCCGGGGCCGTACATTAACGATAGGAGGAAAGAGGAGGTGTAATAAAGATAGATCGCTTCCACCAGCTGAACGGTTGCTGTTTTAATTTCGATATTGTTTGTCATTCGTCGACAGCGTTATTACCGTTCACTGCAATAATATGTTCATCGACGATCGACGTGTTGTGTAAAATATTAGAGCAGAGGATATATAAATATTATATCCCTGAAAAATTACAAAACATGCAAGCTCTCGTGTACTTAGAAACCCTAAAATATGCAAAATATGGATAAAAATAAATATACTTAATTTAAAAATAATTCTGACGTTAAAGAAGTCACTGACATTTGTCGGTTTGATTAACATTATTTGAAAAGAAAATGTGCAAAAAATACAAAAATAAATAATGTCTTAAAAATTACCAAAATATATGTATCATAAAACTACTACAGATCTTGGTTTGTGGTAATGTGGTAACAAGAAACAAAATTGTTTTTAACTAGAATTTCGATTGCCTAAAACAAATATGTAAATGTTTTATAGAAGTCATTAGTCATTAATAATAAGGTAGGTACTCGCCGTAAATCATGAGCTCACGCGTTTTATAATATATTACTTTGGTGTATAGTCTATATGTTACGGTAGAAGTACGAATGCCGGTAAATCCTAGGTTTCGCCGACTGCTGGCGTAAAATGTCCGAATTTCGGGAATTTACCGTTTGATTTCGGTAAAACCTAGAATACACAAAATAGTTTAGTCAAACCCCGAATGATTTTTGTAGTTTGGACTTTTACAAACGAGATTTGGTAAATCTTAGGATAAACAATCAGGGTTAGTAAAAGTCCGAAATTGTTTACCAAATCGAAATTATTATATTATAATATATTATGTTAAATTAAATTAATGTTATTATTATATATTATGACAACAATTTTTTATTTTTATTATTATTACAAGAGTTTAAACTATTATTAGATTTTATTACTACAATACAATTATTTGTTTGTGCAGGCTTGGCTACTGTGACATCTTGAATTGCACAATACATTTTTGGATCGACACTATTACATCGATTTGTTATACATTTTTCAAACAGTCGCACCTTATTAACCCTTGTCCGCCAGTCAAAGACTGTATAGGCCGTATAGAAACAACTTTTATCACATCATTAAGATAGGACATAGGTACCTTTTTGGCTAATTTATTGACTGTATGAGTAGGTACACGTGTCAAGGTCTTCCGTTATTATCTATTACATTTAAGTTGAAATGAAAATCCCTAAAATCCATCGTTGTAATATGAACGCAATAGTTTCAATTTTGTTATATAATAAATTATAGTAATAATAATAAAAATTTGTTGTCATAATATATAATAATAACATTAATTTAATTTAACATAATAAATTATTATATAATAATTTCGGACCAAATCTCGTTTGTAAAAGTACAAACTACAAAAATCATTCGGGGTTTGACTAAACTATTTTGTGTATCCTAGGTTTTACCCAAATCAATCGGTAAATAAATGCCCGAAATTCGGACATTTTCCGCCAGCAGTCGGCGAAACCTAGAATTTATCGGTAAATTCGTACTTTTACTGTAACATATATACCGAGTCATCGGTTGATCTTCTATGTTATAATAAAGGTATTTTAGGATTTTCGAACTGCACTGTTTAAGTACTAACTTAATACTTAAAACAAAACTAAAATTTTCAAATTGCTCTCGGTCCGTTCATTCCATACTCCATAGACATTTTAAATATTAATTTTATAGTTGACAATTGCATATTGTATATGTCCATCGATTTAATTTTACAATTTACAACGATGTTATTACACAAGGAAGTGAATATGTGACGACGTAAATAATTAGGTAATTCAAAAACAAACTCTAATACATATTATAATTTATTATTTTGAAATTGTTTAGTTAATGAATTATTTTTCCAACTGTTGACTGATATTCGTTTATAAGAACGTTTTATGTAAAGATCGGAACGAGTCAATTCAAACACCCCCTATGTCTTTTTTCCCAAAAGTGCAATTCAACAAAAATAAGTGCGATATGAGGCCTACCCACAATATTGATCGATAGCACAGGTTTAGTCACTGGTCGGACAAGATTTACCAATAATCTAAAATATTACAGTACGCCATATATTACGAGGTGCATTCCGCCCTAGCTGGTCTTAAGGTCGTTAACACTGTATACACTATGTGGCCTATATATGGCTATATTATATGGTTGAAACGGTGAATCGTTGGGTGGTGAGTGCTCGTGGAGGTAAAATGCTATTCCGACGGGTGGATAGGTGTCAGCGGGGCTCGTGGGCGGTCGGAGGAGTGTCAACACTTTTTGTCCCAGCAAACTCGCGCGCTTTTCGGCGTCGAGCAGCTGACCACCGCACGCGACCTTACAATAATAATAATATATTATTACGACGAGTTGAGCGCGGGCGGACGGATGAGGAGGGTCATGCTCGTCGTGTTTTTTAGTTTCGGCATTGCCATCATCGCATTAATCGCGTAAATATTATTTATACACACTTCGTTCGGACGGACGGCCTTTGGTCTCGCTTGAAATCGTATTTATAGGGCGCCGTGCGTATACCACGTGCGCTCACTCGGTCGAGTCGGTCGCTCAACCGTCAACGCGCGGGGTGCCGAAGCCGACCACGCGCCCTGTATGCACGCGGCCGCCGGCCTTCGCCGAACACTCACACATACGCTCGTTCGGGCGCGCGTCTGTTTTCGTCGACGGCGAGTTATAATAAAATCGGGGGACGGACGTGTCCTCCTCCTCCGCGTTCGCCATCCCTTCCTCCGACACTCAATCCCTGCTGCCGTAGACGACGACACGTCGCACGCACACGCCGGTCGCTCTAGCGTTACCGGCCGCCGCGAGCGTTTTACACGAGGGGACGCGCGCGCCGCGTACGCATCGCATCAGTAGCGTGCCCACTCGCCGGTACGACATATTATTATTATTATTATTATTAAAATAATATAGGTACGCGTGCACGCACCGCACCGCACCGAACTGCACCGCCACCGGAACGCTTCGCACGCGCGCGCGCGCCCTCTCACACGCTCACACACGCACACTCGCACACCCCACACAAGCACGCGGCGCGCCGCGGAATAATGCCAAATGGCCAAATCGCCGGCTGCGACGCCGTCGTCGAACGCACCGCCGTCGCCGCTTTCACCGCCAATCGTCACCGTCGCCGCGGCAGCATCACACTGTACATCACCGTCAGCGGCGGCGGGGTCTGCGGCACGTCACCGCCAGCCAGAGTGGCCGGCCACTTCACCGGTGGCGTCTCCATCGTCCGGTGGCGACGCCGGCAGCACGAGCAGCGGCAGCGGCAGTGGAAGCGGTGGTGGCCGTGGACAGTCGTACAACTACGATGGCGGTCCAGAAATTACGCTCAAGAGCATCGAACACACGCTGTTGCCGCTCGTCAAACAGGTACGTGCCGCTTAAAATATGATATTATTTTATTATAATATTATTATGTATCTGCCGTCCATCCGTCTATGATGTCGTGTGATACTGTGATTTGCAGCCGCGGTATTCGAATTAAATCACTCCGTCCCCGTCTCGGCCGGCCGGCGTAGTAACCGACCACGCCACCGTGTTCCTATATTATATTTCGTTCCGCTGCGACGACCACGCCGCCGCAGTAGTTATGCAAGCATGTATATAATGTATACATATATGTATAAATTATACATGCGTGTGTGTGTGAGATGTGGCTTACAGAGGTCCACGTGTAGAATCTGTAGTGTACGTGATACCGTTTCGAATAAAGCGGTGGCATGTAAAAGAACAGCTCCGGTTCTGAAACCAAAATAGAACGCCAGGTGTGACCCACATTACGCGTGTAGCGTTACGACCGATGACGACAACGATGATGACGATGAGAATAGGTAAAAATGTACGCATTAAGCCGCCTGACCTTTTTTGCGCAAACTTGACCGGCTTCTGCTTGCCCGCGTATCACGACTGTTCGCACACAGAAAACGACGACGTCGAAGCGGCAAAGACAGCCCTCGTGAAAGATATATGATAAGAGATTTGGTCAGGAAAAGCGATGCGTTTCTTCGTCGGTGCGTTTCCCGTCGGGTCCTATACGGTTTGAGGTTAACCGTGTCATGGCGAAAAGATACGCCACCGCCGCCGGTGGCATGTACCGACGGTGACGACGGTGGCGTTGTCGGTGGCGGCGGCGGCGGTGGAGGTGACGGTGTTGGATGAGATGGTGCAGGTCGGTGGTGTCGGCGGTGGTGGGTTTTTATTGATTGGCGGCGGCGGCGGGTCCGGCGTCGTCGTTCGCGCGCGTTGCCCGCACGCGCCAACTTCGAGCGTGCTCGCGCCCGCGCAATTATACGCTCGCGCACGCACAAACGCACCGGACGAGCAGCAGCCAGCACAAGCACCAGCAGCCAGCGCAAGCACCAGCACCAGCAGATCGCCGCCGGACGCCGCCGACGCTGCCGTCGCTGCCGCAGCCGCCGCCGCCGCTGCCGTCGCCCCCCCTCGAAACTTACACACACACACACACACTCACACACAAACTCACTCACACACACACACACACACTTACACAACGGTAAAAATATAATATTATTAATTTGATAAAATATAATATATTATATAATAATTATTTAAAATAAAAAACCAATTCGCACCACACACAAAAAATATTATATGACCACTGCTGTTTTTTCGTACGAGTAATTTTTGTCAAAAATTTTTTTAAAAAAATGATACATGAAAAAACGTGCGCGGTTTCACCATACTCGTACAATATATTATTATTATAATAATATATTGCAATAATAATAAAATATATTGTTGTTGTTCTCGTTGTTATTATCACCATCATCATCGTTGTTATTATTATCATTGTTATATTATAATATCGTCGTCGTAAGTTTCGTATCGTATCGTATACGACGGGTCTTAAGCGTCGTCGTCGTCGTCGTCGTCGTCGAATCTTCCCCCGGTTTTTTCGTACGGGTATACCTACGCCCGCGACCACGTCTCCTCGGACCTGCTGCAGTGCGAGCCCTGCTGTGCGCCACGCGCGCGGGCGGAATCGAAAGTGCCGAACACCCGGCACACACCCTGCACACGCCGACCGAAGGACACGCCGCGACATGGCTCTTCTGCTCGGTGACCACTGCGGCAGACAGCAGGTAAGCCGCCGCTGCCGTCACGCATGTACCACGCGGTCATATCGCGAGTCACAGTGGCCGAGGTACAGTGTCCGGTGCCCCACAAGCCGGTCGACCCGCGTTTTTTGGGGGAGGGGGTTGGAGTTTTGTGGTGGGGGGCGGCTGTTTTTGGAGACTGCGATCCGGATGAGATTGCGGCGCGGGCGGGACCGGGCACAGAAAGCTCTCCGGATAGCGCGTCAATAGTCGGCGACGGACAGAGCCAATGGCCAAGCTAAATACTCCGCGCGCCCGCACCTCGTCCGATCCGCGTCCCGAAAGCTTTGACTCTTATATTGACGTGTGCGCACACACCACTGCAGCTAGTATTTTCCGGCTACCTCTCGTGGCGGTTCGCGACATACCAACATCTAAAGTTCGAGGGGGAAAAGAAGAAATTCGAGTTGTTAAAAATGTCGAGTTATTAAAAACCGATCAAGTGTTGACGTGTTGTTTAGATACTTGTGTATTATAGTGGTTGAATGAGAATTTTTTATATTGGTGATATCGAGATATCAAGGTACACAAGTTATCGAGATTCTGACTGTAATATATACATATATGTATATATCTACTCAGGTCGGAACATCATAATACTGTACACCGTTATACCTTTTATCAGTTGCGTATTTAGGGGGGGACGGCGGGCAATTGCCCTGGGTGCCAAATTCTGAGTCCTCAAGGGGGCGCCGTCGCTAGATGTTATAACAAATTTTTTATTTTATTGGATTTGTTGAGAAATTATATTAGTGATAAGTGATAACTGATAAGTGAATACCTGTATCTTTTTTATAATATCTTTTACATTTCTATACATATTTCTATAAATATAATATATATATAATGTATTTTATTAAATTGTCGTAAAAAAAGTCTAAAAGGCTAAAATCTAAATTATAATTTGTTTATTTAATTAGGAATAAACGGAGTGTTAATGGTAAAATAAATTTGTTCTCTAAATTAGTGAAGGCATAAATACAATAAGGGGAAAATATACATTTTTGTTATCAATTATCACTTTTACAAGGCTTGAAACCGATTGAAAAAATGTCTGTTTTGGATTCGATTTGTACACCAGTTTTCAATTTTTTTCGGTTTCGGTTTTGGATTTTGCTAACGGTTTATACCGGTTTCAAGTAATGCACTATTAACTAAGAGAAAAAGTAAATTGTAAATTAGAGGGGGCTTAAATAATTTTTGTGATAATGATTAAAAGGAAATTGAGAAAAAAGGGGGCGCCAAAAACTATAATAACATGATGCCCAGTGGTTTTTTTTTTGTCCCTGAGGTTTTTCAATTTTGAAATTACTGCGGTTGGGTTCCCTCTTATTATTACAAAAATATTTGCAGAACGGTATTGAATATAGATAGATATTATAATCATAACAATAATATGTTGTACATATCGGAAATTCTTTATCAATCGGACGGTGAATTGTTTTTCCCCGATTATACCGACCAAAGGATATTCAATTGTGCTCCTCAGACCTTTAGTACGAGTTTTTTTTTCTTAAAATGGCAAAAGATTGTAGGCGGATTCGTTTCATTTATACATTTCTGCGGGTACGGGCTACACAATGAATGTCCGAATGAAAACATCATTCATCAAAAATTTCAACATTTCCATTTACTATCAGTCGGAGAACTAATAGCGTTGTTTGAAAAGTTTTTGTTCCTATATACTGTTCACTGTTCGGCCATCTGGACTAATGTGGTGGGTCGACCTAGAAAACTTTTCCACAGGGTTACTGACTTTAATACTGACCAAACACGATGTTGCCATGAAAAAATTAAGCGAATAAAGTATAGGTCGAGGTAAATTATTATCAATTTTATGAATATTCTAATTAAGATGATTTTAATTAATATATTATGTTTGATTTCAATTTGGTATCCTACCTACTTTTGGAAAATCGTGATGAATACAATCATTAAAATGTGTTTGTAGAAAATTAGAAAACCATTTTACATTATTCAGTTATATTTTTGACTAACCTTAAAATATAATATATTAGGTAGTATATTGTTTGTGAAAATAATAATATCAATTACATATTTTCTGGATTTTCATCAAAACTAAATGAAATAAACAACTAAGGTTAGGATATTATAATGTCGTTATAGGTTTATTTTGAACGGTTGTAAGTAAATGTAATAATTAATAAAATATGTACCTAGTACTTACCTATAATATTTTATTCAATTTTTATTTTTATTTTAAACATTACGCAAATGGTAAATATGCAGTTTTAGTCTAGGCTTATTTATCAATTTCGTATAGTTATTTTTTCTTTATCTTCCTTCGGACAATTTTAATGATGTCGGACACTTGGTGACAAAGTTAGCCGACTCTGTTTGATTAATCGTTTACAGTTTGTATTTATATAAAGGTGAACGCGGTATACGTTGACCTCCGGTCATTTTATATCCAGCTGTGTGACGTTCGATCTATGCTCATAATGTGTTAAGACATTTGTTTAATCGGAAAGATTTCGGCACAGTGAAGCACCAACGGATTTGACATCAAACATTCAAACGTTTAAACGAGACCTCCAAGAAGTTAGGTGTCTATCAAGTTGTCTATTACTGTAAAATGTTCGACTTCGTGTTATGAAATATTATTATCGAGTTTTTTCAACTGCAACAGTCTTTGTCTGCGTTTCGTACTGGGTTTAGTCATATCTACATCAAACTTATATACGATTAAATTGGCTTTTCGTGGAAACCGCTCAAGTTCAGGTGAAATACGGCCAACTTTCGTATATAGCCGAACACCCTTACACCCACCCATCATTTTTGAGACACATTAGAGTCTATAATGATTAGAGGTCTGCTGGTAGGTAGGTACCTTTATATATATACATTATATAACATTGCATATAGGCGTATATAATCAATTGCGTATAACACGCGTAACATTTCATTTTTGTACACTAACGATTTTTCTTCCGTTGATAAAGTAAACAAAACCGGCAAAAAAAAAAAAAGAAATTCACTTGTGATACCGCCTGAGGGGACGGGTCATTTAATTCGGAATTTACTTGATTACTCGCGGTGTTCGGTGTATCTACTATGCACGTGTATACAAATACGCTAAAAACAATATTACTATGCTTTTGTTTACTTCTGCCGTGTTAATTTTTACGCGTGTTTAATGTCTCGTGCATTTCATAAATCGTATTCGCATGCAATGTAGTAAACATAAAACGCTTTTCCGCAATGACGTAAAATACATTATAGAGTTTAATA